TTTACTCTTTTCTGTTTGGTGGCGGAAACTCGTGCAACGCTAGAGACGCCGAATTTAACAAACTCTACCTCCGCGTATATTCTCGGCACGCCAAACACTACTTATAAAAGTAAAGCTATATTAATATCTCAAATTTTAAATTCCAAGAGATTTTTGTACTAAAAAAGTTGATTTTAAAAGCACTTAAAAAGCAATTGTTCAACAAATGAAAGCATATAAATATTACCGAAAAGTCTTACTAATGAGGCCACTGAATCTAAAACATAAGTAAACAATATGGTTGAACTTATAATTATTTAAATTTATGAAATTAAATAGATAAAAAGTTATTAATAAGAATTTGTTAAATTTATCTAGAATATTAAATGATTACTTGTCTAGATATTAAAGAACTCTAATTTGCATGTGGAAGCTATAGATTTTTATAAATTTACCAATGATTCACAGAAAAATTGCCATTAAATTGAGTTCACGCATGACTCATCTCTACTAATACATTTAGAGTGGGCTTAAGCATTAAGGAATTGACTACATTCATGACTATAGCAGAACAAAAAAAAAAAAAGAAAAATATACAATAATACAATATGACAAATCTAGGATATCCAAGGGACAACAAACACAACAATGAAACAAAGTAGTACATTTACCCAACTAAATAAAAACGTTCTAGGGTGACAATTGACAAATCCAAATCATCGACTATACTTGACCGACAGTTTATCAGAATAGATTTGAAGAGTTATCAAGCTTGAGTTTATATCGACTAATAATTTGATTTTGGGGCCCAGACTTCACTTAATAATAATTTTTTTTAATTATTGATAAAATCATGAAAAATAGTAATATATAAAATATATAATATATAACACGTGTAATATATAACAAAAAAACAACAGTAATCAGAAATAAAAAAAGACGAATCACAAACAAATAGATGAATAAGGAAGTTTTATTTTGGAACGGAATTAACTTAAAATGATTTTTAAAGTTATAAAATCTTTAGTTAAGAAAAAATTAAATTTATCTAAATTAATAAGCTATTTTAAAAAAAGAGAAGGGAAGCCGTCACCAGACACGAATCGCGAGCATAATCAGACAGTTCTAGAAACAGCTTCGGGCGCTGACAACTGAAGAAAGAAGGCCTCCACATTTGCGCGTGCTGGTTCAGATAAATCGTTAAATAATTTATTTGACTCTTTCCTATAGTAATTAGTAGTATACGATGATGGCTGGTCCTCTTCAACATGGACGCTTTCAAGGATTCTAATTCAAACATCTCAGCCAAGTCTGCGTTGACACTTCTCTGCCCCTCCTTCCTGCTTGTATTCTTTCTATAAATACCCAACTCCCCATCCAAACATCAAATATACAGATCAAAACCCAAGATTTGTTGAACTTCAGCAGAAGAGAGAAAACAGGCCACCGAAAGATCTTAGGAAGAATTAAGATGGCCGCACTACAGACCCACTGCCTTCTTCAACCTTCATGCTTTATACCGTCGCGGCTCCCGCCGTGCCGTGGAAGATGGCGAGCAAGCCTTCAATCTCTTCCAAAACTTCAATCTCTCATCCCATTTGAAGAACTTACCATGCTAACAGAACAGTCGACCATCAAGAGGAACAAGTTGGTTGCTCATGACAAGGAAGAGCAGAACAAGAGCTTAATCATCGCCAAGCTTCTTGCCATCGCCGAGGCCGCCGCAGACCGCGCAGAAATGCATGCCATCATCGGCGAGCAGCGAAACAATTGGAACCACCTCTTCCTCCATTCTATTAACTCCATCAACCTCACGGCCTTACTCATGGCTGCGATCGCCTCCATCCCCGAAATAGCGGCATCCCAACCCCTCAACCTCTCCTCCGCCGTCCTCTTCACTTCAGCTGCCGGACTGATGTTTTTCGTCAACAAGATCCAGCCTTCGCAGCTTGCAGAGGAGCAGCGGAACGCCGCCCGACTCTTCAAGCAGCTGGAAAGATCAATCCGTAGCTTGGGAGCACATACTTCAAGTGAATCCGACGTGGAAGACGCCATGGAGAAGGTTCTCGCGCTGCAAAAGGCCTACCCGCTTCCTCTGCTCCCGGGAATGCTCGAAAAATTTCCCAAAGTAGTCGAGCCCACCAAATGGTGGCCGAAGCAGAAGAAACCACAAAGGAAGCAAGGAGTTGCTAGGAATGGGTGGAGCAGTGAGATGGAAAAGGAGATGAGGGGAGTTTTGAGAGTGCTGAAATCCAAGGATGAGGAGCAGTACGTAAGGCTTGGACAACTGGTTCTTAGCATCAACAAGTTCTTATCTTTCGCCGGCCCTCTGCTCGCCGGAGTTGCCGCGGTCGGAGCTGCTAGTTCCATAGGCGGCGGTGCACATGGTTCGTGGCCGGCGGTGGTTGGGGGAGCGTTGGCGGCAGTGGTGAACACACTGGAGCACGGGGGGCAGGTGGGGATGGTGTTCGAGCTGTTTAGGAACTGTGCGGGATTCTATAGGAAGTTGGAGGAGGAGATTGAGTATAACTTGGAGGAGGAGGAGAAGGAGATGAGGGAACAAGGAGAGGTTTTTGAAGTGAAGATGGCGTTGCAGCTTGGAAGGAGTCTTTCTGAGCTCAGAAGCATGGCTTCCTATTCATCTCCTTCGTCCGAAGATACGGAGATTAAAGAGTTCGCCGGAAAGTTGTTCTGATGAAATTCTCATGGACATAGATAATCCAAGCCTTGTAC